ACATGCACCTAAAGTGTGGCAACGCTGCATTTAGAACATTTGATATTTGCAATTTGAAATTTGCAATTGAGCTGGCAGCCAAAAATAAATGCATGTAAATAACAACAGCCAGTCATTCTATATGGTTGTATATGTGAGCTCTTGGTGTGGTATGCGTGCAGGTGCAGAGCGTGAATTAGGAGAAACAGACGAGGAGACAAAAAGAAACAGCTGCTCTGCTGCGCTCTCTGACTCTCCTGTTCACCCGCTCTCTCTTCGACTGCGCTCAAAACGGGTTTGTGGCTTTTGCTTATGTTTTGTTTTCATTTTTGCAGCTGTCTGCGCTCACATGTATGTATGCATATATGTATGTGTGTGTATTTATCTGTAAATGCTATTGTTGTAATTGTTATGGCTGTTGCTGTTGCTGCTACAGCAGCATTCGCAGCTCTTTGTGAAATTCATAAAACTGCGCATCAGCTGTTTTTTCTTTTTAACTGCTAACGCTGCATTTTAGACCTGTAGCATGAATTTTATTAGGTCAGCGCTACGCCCATTTGAGGCGTTCTATTTCATCATCATCAACGAAATAAACATAAACCAAAGCTTAAACCTGTTGCACAGCTGTTTCGAGTCAGGTACATAAACAACAATCAACAGCAACAGCAATAGCAACCGCAACAACAACATAAAGGCCAGAATACTGTGGGAAGTTTTCAGTTCTAGCAAATATATGCCAAAGCGCTCTAATTTGATACGAAAACATTTAGCACAGTTTTCGAGCCAAGCTCTCATAATAACAGTCATATGAACGCTGAAAATTGTTTAGCCAAACAACAACTAATTCCAATGCTCACGTACCAAGCACATATACAAAGATCAGAAGGAGAAGAAGAAGAAACGAGACCCATGCCAAGTTCTGTTTGTCTTCGATTTCAACTTTTGGCCGGCATGTGGCGCCCCACTGGGCCTATGCCCCTGTGCCCATTATAACTATTTTGTTCGAACTTCGAACAATGCAATGCATACCGAACGGAAATTGCCCGCGGTGCAGTTCTAATAGGTGGCAAGGTGCTAACTTGCACTCAATCTGGCCAGATTGTTCGCTGAATGAAATGTTTGATGATCGTTTTAGCATGTCGAGAAATCGTGCGCGCTTATTGACACATGAAAAACTGTTACATAGATATAAAGAACCATAAATATTTAGAAATCTTTGTGGATATTAACAAATATTTTATATATGTTATAAACCAGCATTATTATTATTATATTTGTTATTTTGCTCTGTGAAATTGAAGTTAATTAGAGTTTGTAAAGCGGAACAGCTAATAACATATGCCAGGCACTCGGTATAAAAAAAAGACCAGAAAGAGAAACAAAAAGAATTAGATGAAATGGTATATATTCGTATTTCGGGCACCCTCCCCAGAGCTTGTCTATTAATAATGTCGAAAACATGCCCAAAAAACTTTTCTTTTTATTTGGTGCTTCGAGAAACTTTCAACAATAACATAAACAATGCGTTGGTATGGGATTTAATTGCTGCCTGATTGGGTCCAGAAGTCACCCCCAGCCCATGAGCAACCCATAAAAAAGCCAACAAAAATAAAACAAACATGTCAGCAGCTCCCGACTATATCTACGAGCGCCTTGAACTTTATGGATGAGCACCATCTTATTTTCCTGCCGCTTTTATGTGGGATTATGCTAGACCCATGCCAAGAAGCCGTTGCACTGCCAGCATTTTCTAAAATTATCAGAATGGATAACTTCTTCTCCCTATTTTTTTTTTTTTTTTTCGCTTTCAAAATTGAATTTTTATGTTCCAAGTGCGGCCAAGTGCTGCTTGCAGCCGGTGCCTCATAAAAGTAAAACTGGCGACTGTTACACGTTTATTATATTAGGTTTGCTTTTCTGACATGACAGCATTTATAGGTAGCCCTTTACTGAATGAAGTAAACCTTGCTCAGACTAAAGTAAATTTCATTTAATTGCAGCCCATTCGAAGCTACTTTGGAGACAAGATTATCTTCAGATCTAAATACTTTATTGTCTCTTATATACAGAAAAACTATATATACTACTTTACTACTTTACGCTAATATCTATACTTTCCACACTCTCTATATTATCTATGTTATCACTAGAATCAATATTATTATTAACACTATATATACATAATCTCTATATTATCTACACTATCCATACTATTTATACCCGTTTATGGATCTTAAAAAATTAGTTATCCTCTGTCAAAAAAGAATCCGTTGTCTTTTGTTTCATTCTTTGTGTTAATTAATTTGGCTTAAGCTTCTTTTCTTGTTAATTGTTAAGCTTGTTTTGTTTAGTTTATTTTTTTTTTTCTTTCATTTATATATTTTTTTAAACAATGTTTTGTTTTGTTTATTGTTTTTTTTTTTTCTGTCTGCTATCAGCGCTTTTTCTTTTTCATGGTCTGCACGCACAAATTGAATTTTAAATGATTCGAGTTTTATATAACATGTTTTGGAGTGCAGCAAATGGATTTTTTTCTGTTTTAGCATTGCGTAACATTTGGCAAACTGTTTTTTAAGTGATATTCGTTAATCATCTAACTGGAGTTCAATGTAGCTAAAGACGCCCAACATATAAATTGTTCGTTGTCTTCAAGGCAGCTCAGCTTATTTGCCGAATTGACATCGGACTGAGCCATTATATTTATATATTTTTCCGGTTCACTTTAACTATATAGTATATAATCATTTGAGCTATGCTGTGTGGTCCAAAACTCACACTTTTAAAAAATATATATACATATATATAAAACTGAAGTAATTGCTTGTATAAAAAGTCAATGATCTCTAGCTGCCTCCCTCCTCCCCCGCCTCTACCACATCTCGTTCGTCTGTCGCTGTTCCTGTTTGATTTCCTTGTAAACAGTTGGCATTGCTCTCCAAGTTGACAAACAGTCGTCGGCCTTTTGATCTCCTCGCCAGTTTTCAATTAATGTTTACATCATTTACATCATGTTTACACAAACTTCATTTCCTTAAATTTGTTTATGCATCGAGAGATATGCTTTGGCTGCATGAATCTTCGGCACCCAATTCAGAAATTCAGCTAATTGGTCAACAGTTTCGTGGAGTTCACATAAGAAACTGAAGTTCAGTTTTTAATGCTCTTTTTTAGTTGACATAAAAAAATGAAGTCTATGAAGTAAGAATAGCGCAAAACTTGTTTTCAAGCTAAATTAAATTACCAGCAAAAGGCACTTCCATAGAAATGTATATGTACATACATATATACATATGCATGTATGTATGTGTATGATTATTATTTTTTTCTCATTTTTTTTTGTTTTATTATTATTTTTTCATGCTTTACGCCCATTCCAGAGCGAGCGACCCGGACGGGGCTCGGCTTATGTGTTAATTGCTTATTATATATCTTTCATTTTGATGTCATTCTCTCTCACTCTGTCGCTCTCTTGGGGAGATGTTGCTGTAGGCCTGTGCGACATGTCGAGACATGTTCATTTATCAAAACTCAAGCCACGCTCAGCCCGAAGCGCCGTCGAGCTGCAGATAAGGTCAATTAAAAGAGTCAACCGGAAATGTCGCGACGCTCGGTTAGGAGCTGCAAAGTTGTTGGAGAACGAAAAAAAGGGGTACTGGGGTATCGATCATACACGCACGCACACACACACGCCAACAAACAAACACATGTGTGCCTGAGTAGATATACAGTTATGTGGCAATGCCTGAGCAAAGATTTCACAGTGAAATTCAATTGCATTTACTATATGGAATTTCCGAAATAAACAAAACATTTCCACTAATTTTTCACATTTACGAGTGGAATTTGCAACAGTTAGTTATACTTCACTTCGCCATCAATCAATCAGTCAGTCAATCAGCTCAGGAATTTACATTGTCGCATTTAAACATTTTTCTTTTTCACATGAAAAACTTCCTCTAATTAGATTGCATATTTTCGCATAATTTTTTTTATATGTGTATTATGTATATATAATATAGTGACGCGCCGGATGTCAGTTGCTGCGCCGCATTCCCTGTTAGCCACGCCCCCTGCTCCCCCTGTGTTGTTGTAATTAAGAGAAAAGCAGGCAAAGCAAAAGAAAAGTATGCAGCGAGCTCGCCTCGAACCCAGGCGCATGCACAAAATGCAGTCAAGCAAACCCAAAATGGGAGACAGGAAGTGCCTCTATGCCTATGCCTAGGTATGTGTGTGTGTCTTAGAACATGATCAGTCATGTGTAAACAGTTGACGACTCTTAGATGTGTGAGGTGTGGTAGCTGCAGGTAGCAAATCTGGCTTTAGGTAGCTGAACGAAAAAGAAAACGGAAAGCAACCTGAAAATTAAATGAAGAGGTTGGGCTGGCTAAGTAGATAAAACACCTATGTAACACATCCTTAAATATGGCTTATCAGAGGATAGGCGAGAACAGAAATAAGGAACAAATCAATCACAATGAGGTATAAAAGTCTTTGCCTAGTCCAGCACCTACAACAGTCGAGAACTACAAGTTCGCGAGTTGAGTTCGATGGGTTTTTGGCAAAGATTTGGCAAAGTCAAGTGTAAAGTGAGTGTAATAGATATTATATTAATATAATTATTTTAGCTGAAAATACAAATATATTTTATCTATCGCATCTCAAACTGGAATCCGAAAGATAGAAACTAAAGCATAGTTTTAGTAGCACTTAACTTCACTCGATAGACTGATGAATATTTAAGTGGCACTAAAGATATTGTATCTCCTCTTTCGCTCACCACATAGGCACTTAAAAAAGTATTCTTATACATACATATACATTATTGGTATGCGAGTTTTGCTTGTGGTATCTGATCATTATTGTACTTGAAAGATCTTGTATATGCTACTTGAATGTAGATACTTATTAGCAACATTTTTAGAAAGGCGACGCTCTTTGATCTCCCATTCTCTCTTAATCCTAATTGATATATAAGCATTCAAGAGCTCCCACTAATTGCTCCTCTCCTTTATGCCTTGCAGATTTATCCTGGTCCCGATCCGAAGCAAGCGATAATGGGCTCGCTGGTCTTTTGCATACACCACAAGCAGGGCTGCAAGTGGTCGGATGAGCTGCGTAAGCTGAAGGCCCATTTGAACACGTGCAAGCACGACGCCACCCAGTGCCCCAACAAGTGTGGCGCACAGATACCGCGCATCATGATGACCGATCACCTGCAGTACACCTGCACGATGCGCCGCACACGCTGCGAGTTCTGCCAGAGCGAATTCTCGGGCGCTGGCCTGGAGGAGCACAACGGCAGCTGTGGTCAGGAGCCGGTATATTGCGAGGCCAAGTGCGGCCAGCGTGTGCTGCGCGGTCGCATGAGTCTGCACAAGTCGAAGGACTGCGCCAAGCGCTTGCGTCGCTGCGCCCACTGCCAGCGCGAGTTCTCGGCCGACACGCTGCAGCTGCATGCGGCCCAGTGTCCGCGCACTCCGCTCGCCTGTCCGCAGCGCTGCGATGCGGGTCCGATACCACGCGGCGAGCTGGAGGCGCATCTGCGCGACGAGTGCCAGTCGCTGGCTTTGGCCTGCAGCTTCAAGGAGGCTGGCTGCCGCTTCAAGGGTCCGCGCCAACTGCTGGAGGCGCATCTGGAGAACAGCGCCGCGGCTCACTTGTCGCTGATGGTGGCGCTCAGCAGCCGCCAGGGCCAGCAGATCCAGATGCTCAAGTCGGCGGTATCAAAGCTGTCGATCAACTACACTGGCACGCTGCTCTGGAAGATCACCGATTGGTCAGCCAAAATGAATGAGGCGCGCGGCAAGGACGGCCTGGAGCTAGTCTCGCCGCCGTTCTACACCTCACAGTATGGCTACAAACTGCAGGCTTCGATGTTCCTCAATGGCAACGGACCGGGCGAGAACACCCATGTCTCGGTGTATATCAAAGTGCTGCCCGGAGAATATGATGCGCTGCTCAAGTGGCCCTTCTCGCACTCCATCACCTTCACGCTGTTCGAGCAGGGCGCCCAGAGCGGCCAGGGCGGCGTGGCCGAGTCCTTTGTACCCGATCCAACCTGGGAGAACTTCCAACGGCCATCGAACGAGCCCGATCAGCTTGGCTTTGGATTTCCACGTTTCATCTCGCACGAGCTGCTGCATAGCCGACCCTTCATCAAGGCTGACACCGTCTTTCTGCGTGTCAAGGTGGATCCCAGCAAAATTGTAGCTGTCTAAGGAGAAAGTAAAGAAGAAGAAGACGGCACCAGCAAGGATGACTCCCCATTTGTAGCCTTAGGCATACTCGACTTCCTTAAATACCGTGTATTTGAATGTGAGAGTGTGTGTGAGACTAGCCCTGTGTAAATAGAACTTAAGAAGAAGAAGAGCAAGAGCTTCAGGCGTTGTTAGCCAATTGTTTGCTAACTGGCCTTTGAATGCTGATCAGCCACGCCTACCGCGTAATAGTCATATAGCTTATATACATACATACACACCAACATTAATATATATACATTATATATACAACTATATATAGTAACTATATAGGTTTTGCAGTGCTGGAATTAAACCAAAGCATACTAAACATAAAAACAAACAACAACAAGAACAAAATTTCAACAGAAATATTCAAATATTAATTTTACGCTCTAATTTAGTTCGTGTCTTAAGTCATTTGTTATAGAGATTTGTATTTTTGTGTGCGCTCTCATTGGCGACTTTCAAAACTTTCAAAAGATCTTCAAATTATAGATCGTACGGTTTATTTTAACAAAAAAGAAAAGGAGAAAAGGAATTTCCTTATTTAGTTATTGCATGTACATAAAATAAACGCAAACCCTAGATATCTAAGAGCTCCACAGTGTTTAAGCGACCAACTTAGTCATTAACGAACATCTAAGATATATAAAATTTTCAATATAGTCACATAAGCTAATGGTTTTAAAGCTAAGAGAAGTCAAAAGTCTATAATAAAAGCAAATACCATATTCAGTAAACTTATTTTGTGTCTTTTAATATTATCATTTTTTTTTCGAAGGCCTAGAAAAGGCTTGGAAATACATATATTAGAAATCTGGTCAGTTCATAAAGAATACTAACTTCAAGCTAGGCTTTCGAGGGAAACAGGTTTTGTTTCCATTCATCGAACTAATGGAATGGAATGCTAGATTTAGTATTTACTAATTAGCGCATTTGACTAGGGAAACCGTTTCTTGAGCAGGCTCTCCAGCTTGCGGATGCCTGTTTGGGAGCTGCCATCGGCATTCTTGTCCGCACTGCCCGTGAAGCTGCCCACGCTGAAGATGAAGGCTCGCTTGGGCGTGGCATTTGCTGTGCTGGTGCTTGCCGTCGCTGTGGCATCGGCTGTGGGATTTGCTATAACCTCTGGCTCCTCTATGGCAGGCGCAGGCGCGTCAGTGACCGTTGGTGTCTCCTCATCGCTGGCTGGTGCATCCATTAGTCCACTGACCGCCGCCGCGGAGGCTGTGTGCTTGAACAGATCAATGAGCTGCAGCTGATCGACTCGCTTCACCGCCTTCATGTCCAATATTTTCTGGTACTCGGCTATGGTTATGTCCGGCAGCAGCTTCAGCACCTGCTGTGTAAAGTGCGCCGGTGGCTGGACGGGCGTCATGACCACTTTGATGATCATTTCAGCACGCGTCATATCCTTGACCACAACTTTAGTGTAGCTTGTCGGCGCCTTGCGGTTCACACTCGAACCCACCGAAGGCAGCTCCAGCAGCGCCGTCTTCAGCGAATGCGTGTCCAGCAGCAGCTGCTCACAGCCCAGCACATTGTTGGAGCCATCCGACAGAGTTAACTTGCATCTGTAGAGCACATTGATGAACTTGGGTATGAAAGCGGCAACAAAGCGATGACAGAATTGTGTGAAGTATTTGCGGGAGCTGGCGAGTGTATCGCGTATGGTGGGAACCGTTTGCTTGAAATTGCTGCAAATGCTGCTAATGAACGCGCTCTGATCGCCCACGTTGCTGATGTGCTGCCACTGCACCTTGGCCATGGCCTGCAAAGAAGCCTCACAGCCAGCCTCTAGATCCTGGACGAGCAACTGTATGCAGTTGGAAATGATGCTGTGAGAGGAGCGGAATTACAATGATTAGTTTTATATATAATTTCAATAGAAAAACTCTCTTACCGGTGGAACACATCCTTCTCCTCGCTCATATCTATTTTGCTAACATAAGCAGGCGTTACTTTCTCCTTCAGTTTATCCTCCAGCTGTTGCACCGTCTCCAGGCAATATTCACCTGTGGTGAGGACACAGCAAATACGCACAAGATCATCCCGAGCGAAGCGCTGAGTGTCGCCCTCTTTCAGAAAGTTGTGGAATACCTGGCCGGCAGCTGTGGACAGATTCTGCATGTCGCGGGTCAGCAACGAAACGCTTTTGCCAATGGAACTGCCCGTGCTGCTGGTCACCACCTTAGGCGTGCTGCCCTCCAGCACTTTGGCAGCGTATTCGCGTAAATACTTTTTGAACACCAGTGCCAGATCGTACATGGGCTGTTCGTTGCTCAGCTGATTACACTGCACCATGCACTTCTTGTAGAAGACAAAAAGATCACCCGAACTGGGGTAGACTGTGGTCTTGGCCTCTGCAAACTTGTAAGGCTCTTTGGACATTTCAATGAATTTCTCCAGCAACTCGGAAAGATTGCGATCAATGCTTCGTATATAAATATCCAAATGTGGCTTAAAACATTGACCAATCTGGTCGTGGAATACAGTCGCGGTGAGCGGCGCCTCCGCTGTCGTTGGAAGTGTGAGCACACGCGTCTGCTCGGCGGGCGTGGCGCCCAAAGTGATGCCCGTAAAACGTTTGGAGAGCAATTGCTCAAAGGCTTGCGTCTTATTAATGGCGAACAGCAGCAGGCGTACATCAATCTCGTTCGTTCGCTTGGCCATGATCTGTGAAAGCTGTTGACGCGTCTGGCGACAAAACTCTACCGTAATGCGCTCTGACACCTCCCAGTCTAGCGGAAAGACCGCGCCATATTTATCCTCGAAGTCGAGCAAGTGACGTTTAAGCCAGGCATAACGTTTATCTATCTTATCCAACCAGGCAATGTCTTGATTCTCGTGAAACAAATGCATGTACTCCTCCAGCTGTTGGGCTATAAACCATTTGAGCAGCTCCTTCTTTACCTTGGCGTCCAGCACAGACATCACCTTGCAAGCATCCGCCAATTGATTTAAGCCCAATTTGTGTTGTGTGGAAGGTTTGCTGGCGAAGGCCTCCTTGAAATCCTCGGTGATTTGCTGAGCCAATGTCACTTGGATTTTGTCCACGCTTTGGGAGAGATTCTAAAATATGAATTGATGTGATTAAATAATAATATTTTGCTTAGTTAAATAGCCCACCTTGATTTCCTCAATGTCCGAATACTGCTGGAAATGCTGATTCACTTCTGTAATGGCTTGCAGTGGATTAAGAATCTCGCCATAGGAGCGACGCACAATTAGCTCATTTAAGCTCTCAATGCCCCCGACAAGCATATGCAAGTGATTTAGCGTAGTTATAGCTGAGGTCAGATTTCGCTTAGCACAATCCAATTGTTTTATATCACGCGTAATTTCCTTGACCATTTCCTCGGTGCGTTCGGCACGAGTTTTCACATCAATAATGTGACTGTATAGCGAACTGATCACCTTCTGTGCCTCACACAGCGCCAGTTGCCCATCCTGGCCCGTGTTCGTCTGTCCACGCACCACAGAGCGAATATTATCATCGATTAGCGAGACTTCGCATTGCATTCGCTGAATTGTCTCATCGATGGTGGCCAGCGACTGCTCATTGGGAAACAATTGGTTGATGTAGTCTACAGTATTGAAATCGGGGGCATCCATGGGATCCTGTTCGTCCGTTTTCAGGACCTTCATAAAACAATTATTTTGATAATTATTGTAGAGCTGTCACAATCGTGGCATATGTTTGCCATGTCACTTACCTTGTCTATAACCTGCTTTACTTCTTTAGAAAAGTGTATTTTATTGTTGCCCATCGATGGAACGACAGCGGTATCAGCCGCTGTTGTCGCCGCAGGCTCACTCATCTTGTTTTTCTGCAATATTCCTCAATTTTGGACAGAGATTTTAGTCGATCACAACTTTTTGCTGTCCGCGTCATAAATGTCATTCGCAGTGCAACGCGGACATTGTATTTTTAAGACAGCTGTTATAGCGATATGACTTTGTTAGAGCAATCGATTAAATAATTATCGATATTATAGTCTAAAGTACGCGCCCACTATTTACAGCTATGTGTGTTTTTGTTATTATTTACTACATTTTAATTGACTAAATCAAATTCTAAATGTGAAATCATAGCTGTTGAGCTTGTATGAGCTAGCAACTAGCAAATATATATTAAATATAATTTAATCTGACAAAAAACTAATAAAAAGTCTTATTTGTAAGTACTTAAATTTTAATTTGTAATTTTGTCTGTAAGATTTCTTATCATAGTTTTAAATGAACCTCTTTTTACGCGGTATTTTAGCAATCGTCACGAAAGCCGAAACTGCACATCGATATAGTTAATAGTTATATACGGTCACTCTTAACTCTCAGCTGTTGGAATAGTATGTTCCGTTTGTAAATAAATGAAAGAAAACAAAAACAATTAACAATATTAATTTTTGCTTTCTTCGCAATAATCTATAAGAAATGTTTGACCTGAACTTAGCTTGCATATGGTAATTCGCTTAAACTTCAATATTTTGCGGTAAGTTTTTAAGTTCTCTAATAGCTCTTTCCTAATGTGAATTCTTATATTTAGGTTCAATTTGAAAACAAAAAGGAAGAAAATGGAAGATGATGTGATAGTAATAGTGCCGAAGAAAGCACCGAAATCAGCTAAAATATATAAATGCCCAAAATGCAGCTATCAAACCAATCGCGCCTACAATGTTCAACGACATGTGGTCAACCACTACGAAAAGCCTCCAAGGGAACTGCAGCACATTTGTCCATATGCTGGCTGCTCCTTCACAACATTGCGTTGGGATAATCTCATACGTCACCGACAGGGAATACATCGTGAATCGACTAAGATTAAAAACAAGAATGAAATTAAAATGCCATTTCAAGAGGACTCCACGCTCAGCGACGATGGAAATCTATCAACTGCACCAAGTATTGAATATCCAGTTAATAAAGAAGAAGAGGAAGAAGAATTTGTTTCTGAGGAGGATGACCAAGCATCACTGCCATATGATGAGAATGGCGAGTCAATGGAAGAGTATCCAGAACCAATAAGTGAAACACATTCAAAACAAGAAACCAAAATCAACAAACAAAATATTGTCAAGCCGAAGTAAGTAAAAATCTATTTGACATACAGATATGTACAATTATTAATAATTTGTTTTATTGCAGAAGAACCTATCAGAAAGGCAAAACAAAAACGTATGAATGCAACAGCTGCAGCTATCGTACGACTCGTTGTTATAATATTAAGCGACATATTGTCAAGCACATGGAGAATCCTGGTGCCGGTGTCGAGCTGCATGTCTGCATTATTGCTGGCTGCAAGTTTGTAACGCCTCGCTGGGATAACCTATGCAGACATGTGAAGAGAATACATCCCGAAACTGTTAACAAAAAACCAAATGGAAGATAAAAACAATAAACTAATGATTTGAATTGAATCTTCTCTGATTTATATTTATTTATCTACAATTAAACTTAAGCTTATTTATCACAAACTTTTACTGTGTGAAAAGGGAATTGCTCATAGAACCTGTACCTGAAGCGCTGCCCGTTGTATTCAAGCCCAACATGGAGGTATCTCGCTGCGAGGCAGTGGCCATTCTTTGGTAGCGCGCTATGTGATCCAGGGAATAGGGCAGAATAGGACGAACACTGTGAATTTCTAAGAGTGTTAAATTATCCAGCTTGGCGTAGGTGCCTTCGCCCTTGATGAAGGCATCGATAGAGGTGCGCAATTTCGATTCACGTATGTCGAAGATGTCCTTAATAATAGTCCGCAGCTCCTCGCAGCGTGGCACATCATCTGGAGCTGTGCTCATGACCAGTTGAGCGACAACCATATAATGTTCGCAGGGCATCTTTGTGAAGAATCTAAGACCGATACAGATAATTGAGTAAAATATACAGATTATTATCATTTGGGAACTCACTTGGAGCGCTTCTCTTCCTCCTTAATCTCCTCCAATGTTTCCAGCTCCATCCATTCGGGCGGAACAATTCGGCATTTTTCTTGTTTTCGCAAATGTGTGGCAAGCCACAGCGGCACAAAAACTGGAAAGCCAGCGCGAAACGGACCCACTGAGCCATAAACCAGATGTAGCGGTTCATTTGAGAAGTTGGGAATTATACTAATCATGGACTTCTCGCCAATAAACTCAATAATTGAAGGATCCATGTTTATTTTGTATTTATGCCAATGTAAATAAACAATGCGAAAAAGTTATCGATGTGTCTAAAAAAGCGCGCCAATAAGTGCGATCGATAGTAGCCGCAGCAAACATTAGCTGCCTGCTATGTTACAGCCGTTACTTTTTTGCGTCTTTAAATAGAGCTTGCGTCAAACAGCAATTAAATGAAAATATAAATAAATGCATCTAAACGGCCCTTGAACGGGTTATCAAATGCAGGATGGCAAATGACTAAGAATTGATTTGCTCAAATAAATGTTATTGCAAATTCCAGGCATCACGTATACCGTAGGTTTAGCGTCATGATAAGCGCATGAATGCCAGACATGATCAAGCGTTCAAGTTCAGCGATGCTTAGGCACACACACCCATACACACACACTAGAAACTGTACCTAATCCCTACGTAATTAGCCAAATCTAAATCTGCTATGCATTGCATAAACAATGCAAGTGATTGCACAGCGCGATCAACTCTTATCAGCATTGTCTATCTCTCTTTCTGTCTCCCTTTCTCTTCTCTTCTCTTTCTCTCTCGCATTTCATTTATTTGTTGCTGTTTTAAACTAATGTTTAACCGTCAATTAATTGTATATAAGGTTACAACAAGGTCATGCAAGGGTTAAGCTTTACAATTCGTAATTTTACTGCAGCCAAGGGAAGCTTTGAATCCCAAAATAGAAATCGAATTATATATAATTCGGACAGCAAAATAAATATTAACACGCATAACGACTTATTGACAATAAAAATGCCTGATAAAACCGGACCCAGCTAGCTAGAACTGACTTGCTAATGATAGTACTTGGTCTAGTTCTCTTATAAGCTTTAGCCATGTAAATTTTTCACTCCTTGATCCTCAAGTTAGATTATACAAATGGAAACTGAAGTGAATTTCCAAGCAGTTGTAATCTTAACTCTACTGTGGAGCTCTAATGAAGCTTCCAGCATGCTTTCGCACATACATAATGAGCTGCAAGTGTATACAGATTGATTATAGAGCAGACTCGGCGATTTTCTGATAAGCCAAGCTTTGTGGACTCTGTGGAACCTGAGCACACTTGATTTTTTGAAGAAAACTGCGAGCTGAGCGAGAGATTGGCATTAGTGCTCGTCTATTATTGGCTGGGTACGGATCTGCTGCTGGCTACGGCGGGAATCTCAAGAGGCCAGCGGGAAAAGAACAAATTCAACTGTTTTTCCAGTTGCGACCTGCATTTTGCACTGATAAGTCACAGCAGCCGGAAAGTGTGCGGCGGAGTATTTGGCCGTGCAATTAGAAATTTTGCTTCAGCGCTCTTTTTCGGCAAACGCGAAACGTGTTCTCTGTGTTCATCTCTCTACGGTAAGCTTACGCTTTATTTATATATATATATATA